CTACCTACCTACCTAATGGTAAGACTGCATTACATGAAACAAGGTGGTCAATTCACAGGAAATGACTTTGATAAACCTGCACTGTCGTTGATGCTGCACTTGAAATTAGCTGAAATTAGACACATTTCTGAAATGTATTCTCAGCAAAATGCTTACATATATTGTTAAATTAATACTTATGCAAAATTAGAGTGATAGCGTCAGGGTCAGGGCCGCCCATCCCTGTCCTATGAGTTCGGTCCCTGTTTAGCCAGCAGGTGTTGCTGGCCATCCTGTTCCCTCTGTCATTGTACTAGTCCCTAGTATGTTTTCCTGCTTCCTCTGGCTGCTGCATAGCTCAGTGAGTTGAGCATGTAGTACCACCACTGTAACATTGCAGTCATGGGTTTGAGGCCAGTCTCATTTAGTTTTTTCTACTGTTTTAGTTGTTTATACTATTTGTACCTGGTTATTTCTGTCCTGCTTGCGTTTGTGTTCCTAGTCCCTCCTAGTGTTAGCCCTCATTTGTGTGCCAAAAGTCCTATGGTTTATTCCCCCAGTATTTGTTTGTTTCCTGACCCCTTTCGGTCCTTTTGTTTTGTAGTGTTACCCTGTGTGTCAAGTCTCTTTAATAAACCCCTGTTTAGCTCTGAACCACAAGTTGATTATCACCTTCCTTTCCCTGCCTGCACCATGCCCCGATTCCGTAATAGGTGATGACTATTGTAGCTATTGATAAGTTCCAGTACCAGTATTGTAGCCATTGATAAGTTCCAGCACCAGTACCAATGGATGCACACACAGACCAGTAAAGGCATAAAGAGTTTGTTACCATGGGATGTGGAGACACGTCTGGCTGACTGATCACATTGATTTCAGGAAACTCTGACAAAGAATAAAGCAGCAGTTAGTACAGCATTCAGAGGCAAATCTGGAGACTGTTGGTTGCACTGTCAAAGGAATTGTCATTCTGTGAATCCCCTAAGAAGTAATGCAACATTCCATATAAACAGGCAAAACTGCATAAATGATAAGCTGTGTGAATGACTTTGGATAAAATTGTTGATAAGCAAATAACTAAGTGAAAAGATAAAGAACAGCAGAGAATACAGAAGGAAAAAGGCTGACAGCATTAAAACAAATACAGTAACAGCACTTTTACAGTTGCTTTGGAGCTCATCTCAGTGTAATCCCCACACCGTAATGTTATGAATGTCGATCATTTTTTGCTATTGTACTGTGTTTGGTGATCTGAAGAAGTTACAGTGCATGCGAGTGCTTTCTCTTGCCAGTGAAGTTTATATACTGTAATGTAGAGCCTTGCAATTTCAAAACTGGTGTCTGACATGAATAAGTAGCAGTTTACTAAAGAAAAATTATCAGTCAATGACAGTGAGAAATGGGGAACCGACCCTCATGCAGAACTGTGGAGCTCAGGAGCAGACTTACACTGACATTTTGACTCTCCTGGTTAAAATGATGCAAATTGTACTTTTCATTTTGGTGGCACTGACTAATTCATCAGTGGAATAATTTGCTTTTGAGACATGAGCTAATTGTTTTGGCTAAGTTACAGGCTTTTGCAGATAAACCATAATGTTGTGCTATATGCATGAACTGTTTTGAGAAATGCTCTTATGGTCTTGAGAATAAGTATGTTTCATGAAATGTGCAAAAAGCAATTGAGAAAAACTGTAATGCGTTCAAACAGCCCACAAAAATAAAAGGCTGAACAAAAAGCAGATTGTAATGTGGCAATCACACAAAAAATTTCTTTCCAATTTAATTTATTTTTGGAAGTGGAAATACTCTGAGAAAGTAGGCTGTCGTGTCCAGATTCTTGATACTGGCATTGTAGTGTTAAGTTG